CAATCAATTCAATTCAATCAATTCAATTCAATTCAATAGATGGCAGTGTGTACAGATTAACATGACGTACGTGTGAATCCATGGTGTATACCCTTAACGGCGCAGTGGCCTAATCGCTAGAACATCCGTCTCCTACACCGGGATTATTTTTTACAGTTTGGGATGGGATGGGATGGCATGCGATGGCATGTGATGGCATGGGATGGGATGGGATCACAGGCACTTCGAGCATTTCAATAAATTATAATGCTAAGTAAATACGAAATCTATTTACTACCAAAGTCTTAATATGTTTCTATACTCTCTTTCACCTATTATTGCCGACAATTTCCTGTAAATGCGGTCCAAATGCTCATCTGCAACAAACGCTGGCTGCCGCTGCACACTGACACATAACTATATAGCAGGTAGGAAAGCGTGCTGCCAAAATTCGCTCGACGCTCGCTTGATTTCATACGAATACAACACAAATATTCAACCATTCTACTCCATCTTTGTTTCTATTTGAAGAACAGTGTTCACTTGTTGTAAAAACATACTATCTGTGTTCGTAACCGAGCTGTGTCACGCGAAATCACACAAAGCCTGACGAAATTCTCGCGTTCGCTCCTGTTGTGCAGTTTATGTAAATGGCTGAAAGTACAGGGCACAGGAGGCGCACTGCATTTTGGGAAACTACCACGCTGCTTTCCAACTCCCGTACGAGCCCCGTCAAAGCCGCCAGTGGAGCGTTGCAAAAACGTTGCAGCGTTGCAGCGCAAAAATGAGGTCACAAAGAGCGCCGGTGGGTGTTTCCTGATTCCGACAGCCATTTACATAAACTGCGCAACGGGAGCGAACGCGAGAATTTAGTCATGCAGGCTTTGTGTGATTTCGCGTGACACAGCTCGGTTACGAACACAGACAGTATGTTTTTATAACAAGTGAACACTGTTCTTCAAACAGAAACAAAGATGGAGTACGTAGAATGGTTGAATATTTGTGTTGTATGCGTATGAAATCAAGCGAGCGTCGAGCGAATTTTGGCTGCACGTTTTCCTACCTGCTATATATTTATGTGTCAGTGTGCAGCGGCAGCCAGCGTTTGTTGCAGATGAGCATTTGGACGGCATTTACAGGAAATTATCGGCAATAATACTTAATAGGTGAAAGAGAGTATATAGATACATTAAGACTTTGGTAGTAAATAGATTTCGTATTTATTTAGCATTATATTTTATTGAAACGCTCCAAGTGCCTGTGGATGGAATGCGATGGAATGCGATGGGATGGGATGGGATGGGATGGAATGGGATGGCATGGGATGCGATATGGGATGGGATGGGATGGGATGCGATATCATATCGGATGGGATAGTCACTAGTGTAGAGATTTCGGTTACACCGAAGACTCTATTTCAAACCACAACACACGACAGGGCGTGGCCATTTTGGAATAACTCAAAACCTGGATCGGAAAACCAGGTGACACCTAAATTCCACTTAAGAGATCAATGTGCACAATCAAATAAATGAAAGGTCAAGCTATAATAGAATACAGGATAAAAGGATAACGAGTAAATAAGTAAAACACCAATTAGAATAGAATATGAATGGAAAATTACTCGGCCAGGCAGCTGACGTAATCGGCCTAAATGCGGCACGGCGTGTAAACAAACGGCCGGTACCTGGCAGAACAGACCGGTATATCCCAGTAAACAAGCGATGCCAGCTGGAATACCCCTGCTTAGTACTAGGGGAAAGGGGAAAAAGCACGTGACCAGGGAGCAACCAGGGAGTATATAACGCGCCCGAAAAGCCGTAGAAATCAGAACGCCGGGGCAGCAGCCCCTAGGAGAACCCAGGAGCACTCGGAGAACCAAGGAGCCCTGCCTTGCCTATAGAAGCACTCAGGAGAACCAAGGAGCCCTGCCTTGCCTATAGGAGCACTCAGGAGAACCAAGGAGACCTGCCTTGCCTATAGGAGCACTCAGGAGAACCAAGGAGACCTGCCTTGCCTATAGGAGCACTCGGAGAGCCAAGGAGCGCTGGCTGCCTCATAAGCCCCAGGATTACGAGGAACGCTGACCCGATGGGGGGCGGCACCCACCAATAGGAGCACTCACACGGGGAACACTCACCCAGTGTAGGAGAACTGGGGCAGTCACCGGGTAGCAGACGACGAGCGCAGTTCACCCTCCGGAGAAGAAAGAAGTGAGAAGATAGAAGAAGGAAGATAGAAGAGAGAAGGCAGAAGAGAGAAGGAAGAAGATAGAAGAAAGAAGAAGGAAGAGAGAAGAAAGAAGATAGAAGAAGGAAGAGAGAAGGCAGAAGAAAGAAGAAAGAAGATAGAAGAGAGAAGAAGGAAGATAGAAGAGAAAAGGAAGAAGGTAGAAGATAGAAGAAAGAAGATAGAAGATAGAAGACAGAAGACAGAAGATAGAAGATAGAAGATAGAAGAAAGAAGATAGAAGATAGAAGACAGAAGACAGAAGATAGAAGATAGAAGATAGAAGAAAGAAGATAAAAGATAGAAGAAAGAAGATAGAAGAGAGAAGGCAGAAGATAGAAGAAGGAAGAGAGAGAACAGAAGAGAGAAGGGAGACGACAGAAGAGAGAAGAGAGACGACAGAAGAAAGAAGACAGAAGATAGAAGAAAGAAAAAAGAAGAAGGAAGAAAGAATAAAGAAACAAGAATGAAGAAACAAGAATGAAGAAACAAGAAGGAACGAGAAACGGCGCGACGAATAGAGGAGGGAGGAGAACGCCGACAGCATGTGCCGTTACGTCTTATTCTCACTGCCGACAATCTCAACAGATACGTCAGGTTCGCGTTCACGCCGAAGCACCTATATTTTTGCACGTAACCGTTCACTGGCCTTATGCCATAAAATATCATAGTTACGACAAATAGTCCGTCACGCAGTCAGACCACTCATAACGCGTCAGGTAACCACCAGGTACGATACTGCATAACTGTAGTGTGTGTATGAGCAATTAATAATTATAAAGCTACCGGTTCTGTATACTTAAGAACTTGCGTTGTGTTTATTTGCCTCTGTTTGTTTATTTCCTGCTGCCACGCAACACAGTCCCGCTTTGCCACCGGGAGCAAGAAATGATCCCGCAAAAACAATAGTGCATTCACACGCACATAATTCTCGTAGCGGCTACCCCTAGGTTAGCTCTACTTCTAGTACTATAGCCCGCGTACAGTTGCCGGTGGCAATTAACTGTACGCGGGCTATAGTACTAGAGCTACCCCTAGGTCCACTACAACATCATGGCATGAGATGGATGGATGGATGCATGGATGGATGGATGGATGGATGCATGGACGGATGCATGGATGGATGCATGGATGGATGCATGGATAGATAGATAGTTCTATTTTTATTGGTATTTTCCTTTCAACCAAGCGGTCACCAACTGAGTAACGCCACTGATTTCCCCGGGCAACGCCGGGTATCCCGCTGGGTACTAATAGTAATAATACTAATACTAGGCCTACTTTCTTACCTTCGCTAGATGACGCACTCTTTTCTAACGATAGCACTTCGTATAGATTTAGCGTGCCGAATTCTTTTTTACATTGCGCTAGCAGGCCCTTCATTGTCACGAATAATACCGGCAATCACACACGTTGATAAGCATTCACCTGATAACTAAAAAATACCGAAAATATGCAAATTTAGGAAGATAAATATTATAACTAGAAAATCAAAACAAACCAAGGCGCGCGAAATTTTGCGCACCAGCGCCCTCTTTCGAATAACATGTCACATTTAACTGGTTATTAATCTTTACGCAGTTTCAGTCTACTCTTTTATTATAGTACTTTTACCCTTACCTTTATGTACCTTTTAGCAATGTTGATATACCTTTTTCAATATTAATAGAGTCATGTATTTACAAAATCAAAGGCAACCGAGCGAGGGCCCCAAATAATACGGACAGAAAATTCTCTACCACACAGATGACATAAACAACAAGCAACCATGGCTGACAACTTGCCAACCGAGTTTGATGCTATAGTCGTAGGAACAGGTACACTGCTGTCTGTTGGTTGTAGCTCATTTACTGCGTGCTACTTGTGTAATTAAATTATATATAAAGTTAAGTATCTAGACGCCACCGTGCGCAAGTAAATGTATTAGCCCCGTGAGTTGTACGTAGCATATTTACTTTTTAGCATAACGACGTGGTTTATCTTTATGGGCAGTTGCCAAAATGAAACCACCCATAATATAGATATAGATATACTCATATAGACATCGTTATTTACAGGAATGACCGAATGCATCCTTGCGGCAGCACTTGCGAGAATCGGGAAGAATGTACTTCACATCGACAGGTAAGTTCAAATGTGCATCTTCAAAATTACCCACAAAGCAAAGGTTAGTTGGCATGCCACCTTTGCCAGGTTAGTTTACCTAGTTAACACTCAGCAACACACAGGAACTAATGCCTGATAAGAAACAGATACTGAGATATGGACACATCGAAGATATGGTATGAATCCTCATTTTTACATCCTCTTTTGTAGAAACGATCATTATGGTGGAGACTGGGCTTCCTTTAACATGGACAGCATGAGGCGCTGGATAGCCAACCACAGGGTGAGTCGCCATCTATAATCCATGGTTATTGTAATGATAAGTATATATCCAACAAAGGAACAAGAATCTTTTTCATCCACTGCAGGTGTGACTTCTCTAGACTTGTGAATCCTCATTAAAATACCATCATCATGTCTACACAATGAAAGCACAACTGCAGCAGGGTGCGAAATTAACGCAAGTCCGGAATCAAATACTACCTGATTTACTGTCGGACTCCCTGATTTGACATATGCAGGAGTCTGTGTGACTCCCTGAAAATTCTGCTATACTAACTAGTTCGTTCCAGAGCACGGCCTCGTGGAATTACCGTATTTTTTCAGCAAATGTCCAAAGAAGATTGGGCAGACGTGCAACCGCATGAATCTTCAAAATAAGCACATGCATTATTGTTAATATCTTTAGTTTTGAACAGACTGCGGACTCCCTCATTTTGCTGAGGACTCCCTCTTTTTGAGGGCAGGGAGTCCGTTGGACTCCCTTGTTCAAAAGTTAATTTCTACCCCTGCTGCAGCTTTTTATTTTCAAATTATTTACAAATGTTTAAAAACGTGAATGTTTGCTGAAAATGTGTTGACTGATGTGTGATTATTGTCAGGGAGAGGAATGTCCACCATCCGTGATGGAAATACCTGAGTACTCTTCGCTCCTACACTATCTATCTATCAATCCAAAGACTGAGAATGAGGAAGCTGCTGAGGAGAAGGAGAAACCCAGCCCAGCTTCACTTCTGCTGGAGGGAGAGCTGCTAGTAGAAGCGCGAATGGAGTCGTCAACTATAACCAACGTCGTTGAGAAAATATTTGTGAGGTGAGCGACTGACAAGAATTTAACCCGTTTTCACTAATGTCGTGTAGATTGATAGCATACATCACTAATGTGTTGGAACTGTCTTTGCTGTGCTCATTTTGTCGTGATGATGTTTACATAGGTCACACTACAGGGGTAGAAATTAACTTTTGAACACGGGAGTCCAACGGACTCCCTACCCTCAAAAAGAGGGAGTCCGCAGTAAAAAGAGGGAGTTCGCAGTCTGAGGTTCAAAATGAAAGATATTAATAATAACGCATATGTGCTTATTTTTAAGATTCATGCTGTTGCACATCTGCCAAATTTTCTTTTGACATTTGTTGAAAAAATACGGTAATTCCACGAGGCCGTGCTCCGGAACGAACTAGTTAGTATGGCAGAATTTTCCGGGAGTCACACAGACTCCTGCGTATGTCAAATCAGGGAGTCCGACAGTAAATCAGGGAGTATTTGACTCCAGACTTCCATTAATTTCGCACCCTGCACTATTTATAGTAATTGGTGATTTTGATGACGTTCAGATGTTGTTTAATAGTGTTACAGCTGCCACAGCTGAACCGTTCCATCATATTTGCAATTTAGGGAGAAATCAGAAGTTGAAGTAAGCAAAGAGCCATCGGAGAGCGAACAGCAGGGTACAGCGGATACACAGCAATCGACGGAGACCGAACAGAAGGGCGTGACGAATGCGCAGCAGACGACAGCATCAGCAAGCAAAACTCACACCAACGAGGACGAGCAGGAACCTTCAGTAGAGTCTGTGATAGCAGAGGCACTTGCGTGTACTGAGGAGGAGATGAAGGAGGAGAAGGAAGAGGAGGATGAAAACAAAAGCGAGAGTGCAATGGACGAGGCAATAATGTGCACACCTTCATACGACACAGTCCCGACAGGCGCAGACGCGCAGGACACCCACATAATGAACAGCACCTCAGAAACCCTCGAGCCTCAGCCGACCGCAGACGCCGACGCGAGAGTCGGAACAGAGGAGAAGCCGGCGACGGAGCCTAGCTCTCAATCGCCGTTGTGTGACGCGCAGTCGGTAGACGACGACAGTGAGTCGACAGCTCCAGTCGCAGACGCGGACGCGGGTGCCATCACTGACGCGGACACGAAATCCGCCGCAGGCTCCATCACCGACACGGCCGAAGCAGCCGCCGCCGTTGCCAACGCTGCCGCCTCTAGTCCGGCGCAGGCGGACGCCGCCGCTGCCGCCGCGGAGTGGACGATGGAGAGGATCATGAAGCGGTGGCGGCGCTTCAACCTCGACCTCGAGCCGAAGCTGCTGTTCTCGCGTGGCTCGCTCGTTGAGCTGCTCGTCTCGTCGAACATCGCGCGCTATGCCGAGTTCAAGATCCTCACGCAGGTGCTGACGCTGCTGGATGGCAGGCTGGAACGGGTACGTAGTACACGCGTGCGTAGCTGCTGCTTCTGATTGAATCTTGTGGCAGGTTGAAAAGTGACGCGTGCATACCGATGTTGCTAACGGCAGGCTGGAACGGTAGGTAGTAACACGTGTGCGTCGCTGTCTGCTGCTGCTTGAATCTTGTGGCAGGTTGAAAAGGGAGCCGTGCGTAGGCCGCTGTTGCTAGACGCGGCAACTGGAACGGGTAGGTAGTACACCAGTGCATCACTGCTGCTGCTGCTGCTTGAATCTTGTGGCAGGTTGAAAAGGGACGCGTGCATAGCCGCTGTTGCTAGACGGCAGGCTGGAACGGGTACGTAGTACGCGCGTGCGTAGCTGCTGCTGCTGCTTGAATCTTGTGGCAGGTTGAAAAAGGAACGCGTGCTAGCCGTCTGTTGCTAGACGGCAGGATGGAGCGGTAGGTAGTACACTGCGTACGTAGTTGCTGCTGCTCTGATTGAATCTTGTGGCAGGCGGTAAGGGACCGTGCGTAGCCGCTGTTGCTAGACGGCAAGCTGGAATGGGTACGTTAGTACACGCGTACGTAGTTCTGCTGCTGCTTGATATCTTGTGGCAGGCGCAAAGGTACTCGTGCGTAACCGCTGTTGCTAGACGGCAAGCTGGAACGGGTACGTAGTACACGCGTGCGTAGCCGCTGCTGCTGATTGAATCTTGTGGCAGGCTGGAACGGGTACGTAGTGTGTGTGTAGCCGCTGCTCCTGCTTAAATCGTGTGGCAGGCTGGAATAGGTACGTAGTATGTTGCGGCGGCATGAATCTCGAAGGAGCACTGGAATGTGTACGTACACACGTGATGAAGGAAATGTTTGCATTGTTGTCCTTCCAACTTACCTTCATGCACAGCTATGGGTTTACCGGTGGTTACAGGGTGTGATGTTCCTAATCTTGAAGGATGTTAATGCCAATCCCACCCTAATACGATCTGTGGTTTATACATAGAAATGTTCTTATTCCTAATAAATGAGTATCCTAACGTCGCCCCTAAACTCTACTGATTGCTAGTGGCATGCAACAAAATTGTCAACACCAAGTTTCTCTACATTAATATTTAGAGCATTGGACCAGCTTTGGGATTATTCCTTCAATTCCTACAGGTTCCGTGTTCGAGAGCAGACGTCTTCAGCAGTAAGAAGGTGTCGGTGATCGAGAAGCGAATGCTGATGAAGTTCATACAGTTCTGCCTAGGCTATGAGAACACACCGGCAGAGTATGCAGGTGAGAGATTCTGCATCTAGGTATGTTGTCGGCAAAAATACAAATTTGGTGAAAGAAATTCACATGGACAAAGCTTTATTCGCTGCTCAGTAGCACCAGCATCTATTGAGCTGCAGATATGAAGAAATGTACACTTATTACTGTTTTAACGTCTTTAATATCAATCTTTTCTGGCATTCTGAACTGCAAGAATGTTGTTTGTCGCCCTTATAATTCACCATGATTCCGCTAATCGTAAAACTATAGGTTTTGAGGACCGACCGTTCTCCGAGTTCCTCATGTCGCGGAAGCTCACTCCGAACCTGCGCCACTTTGTGCTTCACTCCATCGCCATGGTAACCGAGGACTGCCCGACAGAGCGTGCGCTTGGGGAGACGAGACGCTTTCTACAGTCTCTCGGGCGGTTTGGCAATTCGCCGTTCCTCTGGCCGATGTATGGGAGTGGCGAACTCCCTCAGTGCTTCTGCAGGTACGCTAGTGCTGTCGTCACATGTACCAGGTGTCAGCAGATGTACAGTTTAAATTGTACACAAAGGGCTGTTCAAGAGAAAACCCCTAAATGTGCCCGCCTGTCAAAAATAATGCTTGGTAATGAAGTGTCATATAGAAGTCGACATTTTGGCATGGGCACCAAAAACCAAGTACAAGCAGGGTGAGCTTGACCAACCTAACAACAATGTTCAAGCAGGACTTCATTCGCTAATGGGTTAGCTCACTTAGATGGTTAGGTTAATTGGTGGTTACTACGCGATGACCTGGTTGGTATGTTTGTAGGTTGTGTGCTGTGTTCGGCGGTATCTACTGCCTCCGCCGCATGCCGCAGTGCGTCGTCATCGACGCGGCGTCGAACCGCTGCAAGGCAATCGTCTGCAATGAGAACCAGAGGATCAGCTGTGATTGGTTGATTATGGAGGCGAGCTACGCACCTGAGCAGTACGTGCCGAGACCAGAGACGCGCAGGAGCATATCCCGGGCCATTCTCATTACAGGTATCGTCAGCGCGCGGGGGGCGATGCCGTGTACGTGTGATTAACGATGTAGGTTAATAACTTATTTTATATATAACAGATGTCATTTATCTTGAGCAGTAGGCTATGGAGTGTAGTTTACTTAGTACGTCTGTGCAATTTCTGTGCAAAAAATACAGCTTTTTCATAAGTTTACCTCATAAAAAGGTATCATGATCAAATTGATGTACACAAAGATATTCAATCAGTAACCTCTGCAAAATTAGTAAATGTCTTCATGTACATTAATATTTGTAAAACAATTGCATACTATGATTTACATAGTTTCATATCAAGTATAAACTCTGATACTTTTATTGCTATGCGATGTAATATAACTTACAAGTCGATGAGAAATTGAGAATAGTTAGAATTACTAAACTCTAAATCACCCCAGTGGTCGTGACAACAACGTGATGACTTTCCCCTCATTAATCACACATCATTAACCCATTCGATAAATACCCCACAACGTGAACCTCGTGCTTCGTTAGCCTCAAGCGATTGACTATCGTAGTTACGATCATACGAACGAATGAAATCTATTGTCGACGACCGTAATTATTGTTTCCTCCTGGTAGATGGCGCTCTGCTGAAGGAGAAGCAGGAGCAGCTGACGTTGATGAGTCTGCCGGTGGGGATGCCCGGCCGCTCGCCCGTGCGTCTGCTCGAGCTCGGCCCGTCGACGATGGCGTGCCCCCGCGACCTCCGCATCGTCCACCTGACCTGCGTCGGCGGCGGCGACGCGCAACTCGACCTCGCGCCGACGATCGACAGGCTGTTCGCCGTCGCGGAGCCGCCGTCGGAGGCAGAGCGTGCGGCGCCACCTGGTGAGAGCGGCGAGCGGGAGACGATAGGCGGAGCGGCGGCGACGGAGGCAGAGCGTGCGGGGCCACCTGGCGGGAGCGACGAGCAGGAGACGACGGGCGGAGTGGCGGCAATGGAGGCAGAGCTTTTGGCGCCGCCTGGCGGAAGCGGCGAGCGGGAGGCGGCGAGCGGGGCGGTGGCGGCGGAGGATCGGGGGGAGACTGATGACGGAAAGCCGAAGCTGCTGTGGTCGTTGTTCTTCAACTGTCAGGATACTACCGACGAGCTGGCAGTGAGCGAAGACTGCCCGGACAACGTCGTCGTCTGCGGCGGGCCGGACTGGACGCTGGACTTTGAGCACTCGGTGCAGGAGGTGGGTTACTGTCCACGTGAGTGTGAGTATTAAGTGTGTGCGTGTGTGTGTGTGTGCACGTTCGTGCATCCATGTGTGTCTGCGTGCATTGTGAGTTTGCATGCACGCTTGTGCGTGTGCGCACACGCACGTGTGTGTGTGCATGCGTGCGTGCGTTCGTGCCTGCGTGTTTGTGCGTGTGCGTACGTGCATGCATGAATGTGTGTGCATATATGTGTGTGTGTGCGTGTGCGCATGCACTTGCATAATTAATTAGGATGTCATGAGAAAATCGAACACAAAGAGCTAGTGAAACAGTGTGCGTGTGGGTGCGTGCGTGTATGATTGCGTGCATATTAATGTTGATTGGTGATGTGTGATCATGAATGCATGATGTGTCGTTCAGTTGTTATGTGTCACTACACATGAAGAATGGCTCCAGGATTTCTCCCATTCATGCGTGCAGGCCAAGGACCTGTTTAGGAGGATCTGCCCGGACGAAGAGTTCCTGCCCAGAGCTCCGGACCCGGATGAGATCGTGTTTGGGGATTACGAGAATCCCGCGCCTACGGATGGCTTCAGGGAGCTGGCGACTGACGCGGAGTCGAGGAACAACAACGGTGGCGGCCCCACTCCAGCAGCCGGTGAGTAATGCCGGTGGAATTTCGTTAACACCAAGGTAGACGCGAGGTTGATATTTCAAGGAGTGACGTAATAAAGATGTGAGATATACGATAAATGTAATAGCAACATAGTGACGTAACGGACCTGTGTTTTTATAATATAATGGATACCGTAATTTATTACATAATGGTTCTTTGTTTTTATTCACCACTAATATTATGTCACTAATATAACGTAATATAGCACAACTTTAGGACATAATATTATAGATGTAAAATACATGATAAATGTAATGAGATAGTAACATAATAATAACCTAAGAGAATGATGTAATAATGAAATCGGGGTATTAAATTAATTAATATACAAAAATTGCAGAGATGCATATTGTCGCTCGAAGTTCATCTGCATTTTTTTTTATGCCTTGACACCATCAACAACCATTGACAGCTGTTGTGTTGTTGTTACCCAGCTGGATAGATGGAGGGTCGAGTCATTATATTAATGTAAAAATTGCTGTGTCATCTCATACAATTTCTATGAATAAAATACCTCAAGATCTCGTTAGGCAATAGATCAATGGAGTCTGGCTAAAGCAAGGAAGAAGTAGGGAAGTAAGGAATGAGATCAAGTCTGTGTCCTTCCTTTCACAGATGATGACAGAACTCCTGCACCCGCAGCAGTAGCGCCACCTGTCGATGTGACCCACGGTGAGATGGGCACGCACCAACCTGACAACGGAGGAGGTGGGTTTTATGAGCAGGAATCGGCAGTAGCGAAAGACAATTCAAGCAGACCCTCAACTGAAGAAGAACAGGATTAAACTAATCGAGAAGAAGGCTGCAGGTATGCAAGGATGAGCAGAGAAGATAAGATTTGGCTAGAAGCCTTGTGTGGTTGAACAAAGCAGATTAGCCATAACTCACAGCCCGTGTGGAGCACCAGCATGAACATGTCACATACTATATAGTATGTGATATACATGTGTTCATGGTACTAGTAACAGCAAAATACGATATCAGCTTCCTATAAATTATACGCATAGCCTATAAAGTTGTATCGCTGCGACTGGCATATAGACAACTATCCGGAATATGTGTATTCCTTATTGATATTTGATTCGATAAGACTTCGGATGCAATTGATTGCTTTTGTGTCATTCCTTCAGGTATATATTCATTTCTCTTGTTGGTCAGGTATCGCTTTGGTACAGTGTACAATCATGCTATTCATTATTATTGTTAAAGAGTTAATAAATGTGTGTTCTGTTATACAAGTAGTGATGCAGGTAACAGTACCTCTATAAACCTAGTTATATGCTTGATTAGTAGTCTTCCGTGTCTGATACGATGAATATAATTAATCAATCATGATGGGATGCAGGAAGCTTGCATTAATGGGATGCAGCAACTGATGTATAGTATGAAACCTCATAAAGAATATTCTTCATGGTCGAAAAGGCTGTAACGAAGATAACCTAATATTTATTGAATAGTCAACGTCACTAGTACTATAATCGTCCGTGGCATTCCACCAGGAGTCCAAGAGGGGCTAATATTTAGCTGACGTCACCGGTTTCTTCCCGTGCACTGTGTGCAACTGATAGACATGGACCGACCTGTCATCACAGTATTACTGTTGCCAGCGAAACGCTCATATCTGTCTTACAATTAATGTAGCAATGACATAATTTAGGGCGAGACATATTAGTTACTTATATTTAGAATTTATGGTGTGCATTTTTACATCTGTCTGTCCTGTTGTGATATTTTTGTGATATATACTCGTTTATCTGGTTATGCATAACATTCGAGAAGTGTTGGTGTTGTTGTATTTAAAACGCAATTGTGAGTGTAGCTATATTTCATCAGTATCTACTATCTACACATCATGTCTAATACACATTTATATTGTATTCTATGTGGTGTGATTAATTTCTGTGGTATTATAAATTAAACCTAACATAGAACGACGTATGATGAGACAATACATACATCGATTTATATGGTATGCACTGGTGTATCGAAGAGTATAATAAAACGATAGCTTCTGACATTTAAAAAAAAATTGAGAAATGGCTATGCAAACTAACCTGTTCTCTATGTTTTTCTTCACGTTTACAGCATGTGATGTGCTGCAGATACTGTACGAGTGTTAATGAATTTTCACGGTATACTGACCTAATCAACTCTAATAGACGTAATTACATGCATTGAAAGCATAATCAAACCAGAATCACATTTGAATAACCCTATAGCTACTTGGCCTCCGTGTATGCCTGTATGCATCAGTGCGTATGAGTAAGGTTATGGTTTCAGCAAGGGATATGGATCTGATATTACTGATATCTTGGGTTATAGTTATACCCTCTAGAAGGGCGACTTGATGTAAATGCCAATTGTCTTTTATAGACAGATGTCCCCCAACACCAAGGACACTGGTTTCGTGATATTAATAATAACAACAACACACGATTATTAAAAACTACAAGTTTAATTTTAATAAAAAATTACAGTCTACACACCAGCACATAACAAGATGAAGTGAGAATTACAGAACTTGAACAAAACTTCTTACAGTTAGACAATAGCGGACAATTACAAAACGTTCCATGCAGAAAAAACAAGCTCATGTTCAAAGTTTGTTGATGATAGATAGGTGACCACGTTATCTCTCATCACATCATACAAGCTCTGCCAACCTCTCTACTCAATGCACTCGTAGAGTTCATTTGACCAAATAGGTGGCAGGCAGTTAACTCTGTTTGGCAACAGCTTGCTATAAAGGTTTTGCACAACTCTTATCAGCAAAAATTGCAACATGTACCCAGTTTTCCAGCTTATACAAAAAGTTCTATAACTGTCCGCTGTTTTCAGCAACTGTCCGTAATTTTTGTCCAAGTTCCGTAAAAAAAAACGTAACTCTCACGCCATAATGACATAGATGACCAGTGCCTTATCAGTACGAGAAATCTGAACACATTCAACCGAATTACTCAGCTATCTGCATGGATTTCATCATTTTCGTCTTAAACTAACCTTACAAAGAGCTACATGGATAGAACACATCTGGAATGTACTGTTCGTGTTGCGTAACAGCCAAAACCAAAATATCGCGTTTTTAACATTTCCGATTGGCTAAACCGCAGTACACCGACTTAAGGGAGTCGTGGTGTCTCGATGTTGCTGTGGGAAACTGGTGACCGTAACAATGCGTAATCAAGGTCGACATTTCGTCGCGAATAACTCGATCAACGTTTGCAATTTGCAACTGGTGGACAGGGTGCATCACTTTCACTACAAACTGAAAATTACCGACTCTTGGTGGAAGTTGGACAAATAACTACAGAAAATCTGTTATGAAATCTACGAACGGTTAACGGAATTTCCGTGCTTTCCGTAAAAGCTCTTTTCATGCGCAGAATAAGCAGTACATGCAGCCTGTTCAGCAAACTTCGCAAACGTGCTCGCTTTTTCTGGGCATTTTTCTGTAACGGCCCATCATTGTCCGCAACTGTCCGTAGTTTTTGTCCGAGTTCCGTAAAGAGTCTGTAATTCGCACTTCGTAGTGCGAGTACAAATAAGCCTTTACATTTGAAACACACACAATATTTACACGCATGCCCACCTGCTCGCCTCCGTGTGAGCGCTGGTGTCTTTCACCTACCGGCTTTGAATCGGGGCGGACCACAGGTACAGTTTGAAACAGATCGAACGCACTCTAGCGACGATGAGCAGCCGATTAATCACGAGAACGCGTGTGTGCGACCGGTGGTTTGTGATGGTTTCGACACCTGCGTCGTCAGACGTGGATCGGCCTGCAGGGCGCAGCACACGTCCGCGAGGGCGCCTCAATGCACGGAGACAAGAGGTGAGATAGAAGATACGAATTTACAAAACGGTGAAGTCGGGTGCGCTCTGCGTGGAATCATCGCACGGCGGCCCGCGTCCTCCTCTTACCCTGTAAGACGAGCAAGACTTCACGTTACCAATCTTTTATGCTACGATCATGGGGAGGGCGGGCAGTGATCGTCTAGTGGATGGCATGCTTGACTTAGGCTGCAAGCTCTGGGGTTCAAGTCCCACCACCGCCCCTGTTGCGGTGCCCATTAGCAAGGCACTTTATCCCGATTTGCTTCAGCCGGCACCAGGCTAACAATCTCACCCGCATAATAGCGAGTAGAACTGCCGGACAAATCCCGTTACAGAAACCGAAACAACCCAGTTGCTGAGGACAATGCATGGAGCCAAAAAGGGAAAATATTACTAAGATTATGCTCCACTACCAACAAGCTAAGTACGTGCACAACAGCACACCAGAACGTCACCTTAGTTGCACGTCGATAATATGCGTGAATTTTCATTGCGATGCGGGGATAAGAAGCCCTACAGTGAAGGAAGCCGTACAAGGATGGAAACAAATCACATTAGGAATATGTACAGGGACGGTATGCCGTACATCGAAGGAAATCAGCCGTACAGGATCAGGAATCGGTTACAGAGAAGTAAGAGGGCAAGGACATGGGAGCGTTGTCCGACGTCACACTCACCGCAAGCCCGGTCTCCGCACCCTGCGACGCCTCGTTGCTCTCTGGCGTCTCCTCTTCCTCCTCCTCGCCATCACTCGTCTGTCCATTCTCGCTCGTCTTGCCTCGCCGCCTGCAAGATAACGCCGAAACATAAATGTACTAGTGATGAGCTAATAGTCTAATATTGGTACTCACTTGGGAAATTATAAATACAAGAACAAAAACCAGAAATACAGGAGTTTCCAGACAATAAGATGGGGCACCTTTCTCGACCACGATTACTACGCCAAAGAAGGTGTAACAAACAACGGTTCCCACGGCTACGGTTGCCAGGGTCGCAACGTCGATTCAATGATTACGATTTTAAGGAAAATAAATGTGCGAGTTAAATAGCTCCACATACATTTTTCTGCGCACTGGGTATTTTTTCTGAGAATCCTCATCCTTGACAGGGGAGGCTGCAGCCCCTCTCTTCCTCGGAGACTGCTTTTTTGGCGGCGATGGGGCCTCCTCGATTTCATCCGCCTCTTCATCTTCTTCCTCCTCTACTTCAGCCTTGATTGAGCTGTTTTCAACACGATATTGTTTACTCTTGCATGTAGACTTCTCACGCAACAATAGAAAATACACAAGTGTTACAATAAACAACAATTGCTTACTGTTGACGTAGACTTCTCATGCAACAGTAGAAAATATACAAGTGATAGAGTATACCAATGAAATGGGTGCACAGATAAAAGTCGAGACTCGGTCTCCATAGTGTGAAAAAACGGTTCCATATCCATATAGATTTTTCCCGTCCTTTTTAACAACGGAATGCACCGTAACAGCTGCCTCTGGACTCACCCCCTCGTTCTCTTTCTGGTTGGAGCATCGCCACTGCCGGTGATTGGTCTCTTCCTCGTGACCATGTGTGTTGTTGCCTGCTTCTCTTCTTCCTCCTCCTCCTCATCTTCTTCTTCTTCCTCCTCTTCCTGCCCCACCTCCTCGACACTGACACCCACTGAAGTAAGCGCTTCTTCCTTTATGAAGTGTTCATCTCCATCTTCTTCTTCATCCTCTTCTTGTCCTTCTTGTCCTTCATCGACTTCTTCTTCTTCTTCTTCTTCTTCGTGTCCTTCTTCATCTGCTTCTTCTTCCTCGTCCTCATCTTCTCCTTCTGCACTGGCTGCTTCCACAAAGACAAACAAATTATCAAATCTTAATTTGCTTTAATTCGGCGCCACCTAATATGCTACGTCAGCACATCTCAACCAAAGCACGTTCTCAATTCATTGATACAATTGCACAAGATTGTCATTAGCAATAATTTATTATATACACACGATCTAAACGCGATCCTACTCATAGGTGGAAGGATTGTTGCAACAACGGACACTCCAATAACACAGGGTCTCCAACCCTGTGAACTCCAAATGCGGAATGTTCCCGCGGTGATCGGTAATGGCGTGCAGTCCGAAGGCGCCGAGCATACTCGGTGGCGTATCCAGAAATGGATGAAGGGGGGGGGGGATGTACCTGGGCTGCCTAAGGCAACCCTGTATGCCGCGGCCGCACCAGTGCTAGGGGGGTCTGGGGCGTGCTCCCCCAAGAAATTGTGAAATATTTAAGCCATTTTCCTGCAATCTGAGGCGTAACTGTGGGCCATATTCTGATGGCTGATGACACTATCTCAACCTTACAATTTAGGATTTAAAACACTTTTCATGACTTTTTTTCTGGGCTTGCAAAGGGGGTAGGGGCTCTGCCCTATGCTGGATATGCCACTGATACTAGGGTGGCTTTGGCCCCGCAAGAAAATTGTGATTTTCAGGTGTCATCTGGCAGTCTGGTGCATTCTGAGTAACGATTTGCCACTTTTCAAAACCCAATCCACCACACCTAATTTTTAATAATATTTAGTATCCAAATGAAATCTAACATGAACTGGTATTTTCAGAACTTGAGAAGGAAGAAATGGCTCCATTAATATAGGATTAATTATTTATTGCAAATTACTAATACTTCAAGGATACATGATAGGTTCAAAGTAATTTTTTATTGAAAATGCAGGCAACGAATTTCTGTAAAAGTCGGGGTTTTTTGGTTGGCCGTGAGCAAGATGGGGGGGGGGGGACGCTATTCTCCCCACGTGTTAATCTGATTAGCAGACAAACTACGCGACACCTTGCAGACAGCGCCTGTCTGACTAGGCTGTTCCATTTACTGGAGACACGCCATATACAAAATGCATAGAAACACATTATAACACTGAGCGATGGTAGGGGGGCGGTGCAAAGCTAAGGTAATGGCAGAAAGCACTACGAGTGTGTGTTTCCTGGAAACGACTTGGGCAGTGAGGGCTATTAATAAACTTGCTGCATCTCCACTGCACCATGCGTGGCCAGTGCTCAGGAAGCAGCTGACAAAAAACCATTGCGTCCAAGCAAACAATGCGAACAATCAGTGCAAATTTTTTACCGTGCAACTGAAATGAGGAATATAACCCTGCAGAATGTGGAAATTAAGCCTGGAAATCGTACAGATTCCGCAAAATGCGGAATGGTTGGAGACCCTGATAACATCAGCTTCTGCATTACCTGCTACTCTTTGGGGTGGCTGTACAGATCTACCGCCTCTGCCTCTTCCTCTCCCACTACGAGAAAAAACCAGCACAGCATCATGGGATCTGACATTTGCTATTTGTTAGTTTATTAATTGTAATGATATAAATATATATTTTGATATAAATCATTGTGGGGCAGTGACGCTGAGAGGGTCTATGTCCCCCAGGGTACTGCTGGAACGTACCCTGGGTACGGTCCGGTATACCGGAACGTACCCTGGTACTATCTAATATGCCGAACCGTACCTCGCCTACTCCACGAACGAGTCTAGGGAGTCGCCTACGCCTACTCCCTAACCCTGACCCTAACCCTAACCACATCAGATAGTTACCAGGGTACGTTCCGGCAGTACACCGAGGGACATAGACCCTATGAGCTGCAGTGACACTTTAAAGCCACGATATTTTATCTAATAGACTTATAGTCAGTTGTATATAAACATACATTTACAAAAAAAAGTAGAATGAATAGTGTTAGCTGACAGGCTTACCGTCCTCTGCCACCACCCCTACCCGGCAGCTTGGCTGGGATTCTTCCTAGACTGGCCATCAGTGCCTCTCTAGCAGCCTTTCCTCGCTACACAAATGAGAAATATATCAACATCAACCTGCTTCCGATACACATAATACACTACACAAGCAGAAATAAGATATATATCATCAATCTGATCATTTTAGCTAATCACAGATGAAAGCTTTGTTCGCACTTTCAGAGATGTCTTGTTAAACTTACCACTCTAGGTGGAGTGAATGCAAACTCCTGTGGCAGGTATAGCTTGTTATTGCTGTAAGACTGCAAATAAGGACAGAAAAACACCATTAGTCAACGCCACTGGTCAAGGCTATCATCCGCTAATGAACAGCTGCCGATCATACGACATCAACATGCATTATTGCAATGACGCACATCGAGATATACGTGCCTATAGAAAGCGCACGAGTAAATACGTGCGCGCAACTATGCATTTAAACGAGTTTGCAAGCTACAACGATAACTAATAAACGACGTGTTGCAGGCGGATGCAGCACCTACCCTGTCAGGGTTAGTGTAGAGCTTCGCCGGTAGCACAGGCTCTCCCGGGAACTCTTTGAGCACGAAGTTGGTCGTCTTGTTCATGACTATGCCGAGTGCAAGGTCGCACACAGCATATAGTTTCTGAGAGCAAAGAAAAAACCATGAGGAACATGGCAGCAGTTAAACAGGCTGGCACCTATAATAAATAATAATTTATCGGGTTGCCTCATCATCTGTCGGGCGCGCCCGAAATCGTGGTGATTGTGTTACTCATCATGACTTTTTCGATTGCTAGGAGAACATTAGCGGTCGCAACTCCTGCTAATGTATACGTATAATGCTAAGTGCTAAGCAGAGAAGCAGTGTGTACCATTTTTCAAGTCTTTGGTATGACCCAGCCGGGATTCGAACCCCAGACCTTCTACATGCGAGGCGAGCACTCTACCAATTAAGCCATCGCTGCAGTGCAAAACTGGCTGGCAAAAGACTAAGCCTCAAAAGTTGAGAGTTACAGTAGAGAATTGTTACTGCAAATAAGCTCGCACTACATCATTCGCATTCTTAATCTCTCACAAAAACTGAATCGTCAACACAAAGGCTACAAAACGCACAAAATAGGCGGTTCTTTAAACGTCACATCGTTACGAGTCGCGTTTTCACTCGACGTTAACGAGCGTAACGAACGTGCGACTCACGTAGTTTGTGAGGTCGTCGTCGGGTCCCTGGGCATCGCGCGTCTGCTTGATGTTCTCAATAAGTTTCTTGAGGAAGCTATAGGAGTAGTTCTCATTGCGCAGCATCAGCGGCTCCATGATGAACCACAGGCAGCTGCAGCAGACGAACACAGATGTTACACGCCCCACCGGCAAGTAAGCTGACATCCCGAGCCGCGGCACGGCAACGGGTGGAAACGCCGAGACGTTAGGGAAACGATTACGAACGAACAAGGCGAGTTTAGACATGTTAGAGGCATCAACGAACAGCGCAAATGTGCATGACACATAATCAATGCGAGAGACGATGCGCATTCGAATATATATTTAACTGATGCAATCATTGAAACATTTATCGTTAGAAAGGCTAAGCCTAAAGACGTAGCACGCATAAGTCTACTTCAGCCTTGGTTCATCGACAAAACTACTGGTTTCTTGTAGGGTAGTACATGAAGCCAGAGGCACGCCACATAATCACGATTCCAATACGGCAGTCGTTCATACACACTTACTCTTGTATCTGTTTGAGAATGGTTGTATCATCTGGTCTCATGAAGTCAGGATCGTGAGCCAATAGATGGATAACGTAGGGCAACACATAGTCAGGCAGGATGGAAAACTTTTTAGCTGAAACGACAAACAATGCGACACATAGAAACACAAGCAGTACATTGACTTAAGATGATTATATAGAAACCACTACCATACTATATTATACCATACTATCCCTCCTCCTCCTCCGCGACACTTCACTCCTACCCCTCGACCCTCTCCCTCCTCCCTCCCCACGCCCACTCCTCCCCCTCGACACTCTCCCTCCCCCTCCCGGCACGGCGAGCGGCGGCGGCTTACTCGTGGCGGACGTGTGCGACTTCAGGTAGTCTCGCCGCTTGCTGATGTTGGCGAGCAGCAGCTGCTTGTTGGCGACGCGCAGGTCCTTGTTCTGTTCGTTGCCCGTCAGGCAGAAGATGCCGAGGAACTCGAGCGGCAGTCTAAGCGTCATCAGGCCCTTGTGCAGCTTGCCGGAGAAGCGCTCCCGAACCTGGTAGACGGGGTCCTGTTCCGCGCGCGCCGCAGAAACACAAACAAAGCGGCGTTCGTTAGCGGACGTTGTGGGCGTTTATCGGACCCAGCCACAAATCGCGTTTCCTGTACGTGTTACTCTCGTAAAGTTAACTCTTAGAGATCGACGCTGCGAATAGCAGCAAAGGTTTCTATGTCGCAGTCTACTACAGATAAAGGGAGCGAACTCCAGTAAGGAACTAGAAAGGGCAGTTGTCGCCAAATACATGTATCCCCCGTGATCTAGTATGAATGAAATATCTCTGTAAGGACGTAGAAGTTAAATAGGTCACAAAGACAAAGGTTTGTTACACAACTCATCTGCCTGAGATGTGCAAGTATGTTAAAATTGGTTGCCTCAGGGGTTTTGGTACGCGACACAGCTTCTCCCCAAGATGTGTAAGTATACGAAGTTTGCTCGCGCTAGGTCAATTAGGGGCCGAGTTATAAAGCGGAAAGGAAATATGATGAAGGTCAAGGTCAAGGTCAAGATCAAATAAAAGCCGCAGTGACGTGGTTTTGGTACGCGACACACATTCTCCCCAAGATGTGTGAGTATACCAAGTTTGGTAGCGCTAGGTAAATTAGGGGCCGAGTTATAGAGCGGAAGGGAAATATGATCAAGGTCAATGTCAAGGTCAAATAAAAGTTGCAGTGACCTGGTTTTGGTACGCGACACACCTTCTTCCCAAGATGTGTAAGTATACCAAGTTTGGTAGCGCTAGGTCAATTAGGGGTCGAGTTATAGAGCAGAATGGAAATATGATCAAGGTCAAGGTAAAGGTCATAGTGACCTGGTTTTGGTACGCTGCGCACCTTCTCCCAAAGATGTGTAAGTATACCAAGTTTGGTAGCGCTAGGTCAATTAGGGGCCGAGTTATAGAACGGAAGGGAAATATGATCAAGGTCAAGGTAAAGATCAAATAAAGGTCGTAGTGACCTGGTTTTGGTACGCTGCGCACTTTCTCCCCAAGATGTGTAAGTAGACTATGTTTGGTCACGCTAGGTCAATTAGGTGTCGAGTTATAGAGCGGAAGGGAAAGTGTCTGCGGCGGCGGCGGTGGCTGGACAGACATGAAACCATAGTATCCCCGCCGACTTCGGCGCGGGGGATACAATTATAAGCAAAACCAACTAAATTTGAATGGGTCCTTTGAGGACAAGACAGGCCGGAAACAAAGGTCAGAGGCAGATGATTGAGTACGCCGAGATTATTTCATCAATCGAGATGGAATACCAATTTTGTTGTGTGTTGTTTAGCAATATTCTCTAAAATCCTTCTTAGAATTTCAGTTACTGCAGCAATACATGCGCATATTTATCAGAACTGCTACACGATCACTTGAGTAAAATTTAGACAGGAAATGACATCAGTTCATGATAACACTGTACTGATACTATAGACACGTGAAATGAAGAACTATGGGGCGCAGAACTACTACTGCGCTACACAATGTCGATTCAACCAGCTCATTATTCGACACCGTTGACCGGCGAAGTTAGCGATAAACCGATTTTACGGAAGACGAGAGACCGAACGACGTTTCGCCGCGTCGCCGCGACGACGAGGCACCGCTCACTTACGTTGATCAGCATCGCCAGCGTCTGCAACTGTTCGCGCGTGATGATGTCGGCGTAGCACGGCTCCTGAGCGAGCTTCAGCATCGATGCGCCGGCGACCAGACGCATGCGCGCCTTCTCGGCATCGCTGCAACGCGAAGAAAAGAGAACGCGCGTCACGCGACGCCCAAACAACTCGGCAGTGCTGTCGGCACGTCCGGTAAAAATGCGCTATTACAGGACCCCAGTTAAGTCTCATGGCTGCTAAATCTGCATACCTTGCTAATTACTGATCTATCTATTCGATCAAGTGAGCTAATTCTACCTCGAATATTTCTGTTAGGTCGATCAAGCTCGATCAGTTTGTTTCCACAAACTTGCACGTGTTTACGCAAAAATTTCGACTTTGCGGCAATCAGTATCATACTGATATACAGACGTGATATATGATGTGATTTTATATTAGTGATACAACTGTATACTGATTGTCTAGAGCTGCTAATCATGACAGACGGACAGGTAAACCGCAGGTAACGGCGAACGCTCGGAATACACTCCTAACGATTGAAGCGAGTCACGCCCGAGACACTTACTGCTTGACGCACACACACAGTACGTTCTCCTGCTGATAGCAGTGAGCGACAGCACTTACTTGATCTGGCTACGCTCCATCAGATCGCCCTGGTGGGAGATGAGGGTGTTAAGCAGACGCAGGGTGGAGCTGCCTAGACTCGACTGGTTCGACTTCATGCCCATCAGAACCCTGGTGATCAGCTTCAAACTCTGCACCTGTGTGGGAGGCATGAGACGAGACGCGTGAAGGAAGCAATCGCCATGACAACAGAGGGCAACAGAAGATAACAGAATACAGGAGAATACAACGAGAGAAAACGAGACAGCAGAAGGCAAACAAAAGACAGCAGATGAAGACACAACAAAAACAAAGAGAAGACAACAGGGGACATGGAAAGATAACAGGAGATAAGACAATAATCAAGACAAATGGTAGATGACAAAAAATTATGAGAAGAAAAGAAAGGACAACGGGAGACAACAGAAAATCAGATATGGGAGTGATCACAACACTGGCAACGGAGAATAATATCTCTCTTCGAGCGATCCACATGCACATCCAGATCTGAACTATCACCCGCATCACTCAGTAGAAGGTTAGCAAACTTCATTGCTAGCAACGTGCCAACTAAGTCAACCAATATATGTTCTGTCATCACAGTGATCGGTTATGTGGTCGCCATTTAGTTACCAATAGAAGACAATAGGTATGCCCAAGAATCTACGACCATACTTCGGGGTAAACCACATTATACGTATCAGTTACAACGTCCACCCACACTGCAGAGAAGGCATCACCCTCAAAGGCATGTTCTGGCCGGAGAACTAGCATCAAAAGGAAACCCCAGTGTGACGATGGCTATATCGAGTACCTTCGTTCTGACTTCTACTGTCATCTGGGCGTCTTCTAGCCAGTCTGCAGCCACGACCGGCGAGGGCATCTGCAATACACAAAGCATCACGTCACGTCGCCATTTCTCTGCCGCGCGCATTTCGCTACACCACCACCTCCCCCCGCGTATACACACCCCCACCCCGTACCTACACCCTCAGTGTCTACACCCCCATTCCGTAGTCTTGCCCACAACACACGGCCGACGACCGCTTACGGACCACACGGTCACGCTAGAGCTCACCCGGTCCTGCATTAGTATGTCCTTGACGACGTTCTTTGATATGATGCCCTTCATTTCCGGCCCAAAGTCGTCGGGCGAGTAGTAGGCTAGGTGGCCGACGACGCAGAGTGCCGTCAGACAGTTGGGCTTATCCAGCTCCATGTTGTTGGTCGCATACTGAAACGGATAGAGACAGTCTAATCAGAGATCTATAGGGTAGATATAACAGCCGAGGTAGTTTTCGCACCCCACCCCCTAACATGTCGAACGAATTTGGCAGCTCTTAAAACATTTTCTGCAATCTAGAGCCTTAAAACATTAATACGCAATAAAAGGCCCTCTATGTGGCATTGGGCAGCCATTTAGTTTGCCCTTCTCATGGGCCGGTACAGAATCTAGTGCCAGGAATGATCTACAAACGAACAACCGTGGTGACTGCTTGCAAGTCTGCCGTACTATGGCCTAGGTAGTAGTCACTCTAGTAATATTGCACAATTATTAATTAAAGTAATTAACCAGTAAATTAATCAGCCCTAGAGCAAATGAGAAATCAAATGAGAAATCATTTGATTGACCTCACAACTATAGTGGAGCATTCACGACACACGTATCAAGCACGCACGGATGCACGCACACATCACACAACACTGAACGATCGCGTAGGCTCACTGTACCGCGTCTTACACACACCACACCTGAAAGATCTGGTTGAAGAGTTGATCTCGGTTGGAGCAGATCACGTGGATGGCCTGTATAGCATGCTTGGCCTGGCGTGGCGTGCTCGCCTTAGCTAGGTTCACCAACACCGGCACGAGACAGCTGTGAACAAATTCAATCGAACATTACCGTGACGAACACCTGTGGATGCACATCAGCATCCGTTTACCGAAGTAAAAAAATGGGGGAAAAAATTCTCAAATGTCAACCGTATATAGTACCATTCAAGAAATAATATCAGTTAAGAAACAAAAAGAAATATACCATCATTCAAGAAAAAAAGCTAACCGTAATATCGGTCTTGAACGATTAAACATTAACAGTGCTAACATGCTAACCCGCTGACAATACTCAGGTGCAACCCACTAACCTCCTTACACTAGCGCGACATGAGCACCACGTAGTCATGACGACCACATCCAACAAACGTTTCGCTACATCAAACACAACACCACGAAGCGCAATCACTACGTCTACAACCAGCCATCTAAACCGACCGCACCGGCTACCGACATCTCGGGAGAGCGCGGTGTCGAGGCAGGGACAATCCGGGGTCAGCGCGGGGTCAGCGTGGCTTCCCCATTACCTGTGTATGTTGGGGAAGGTCGTCTCGATCTCCTCTCCGACGCGGGCGAAGATCTGCAGCGCGATGTCGGCTGCGTACTCGTCCTCGTCGCGCGTGAACGTGATGAGGTGACCGAACGCCTCGTCCGTCTTGAACGCGAGTGGGAACACCGTCGACAGCATCTGCACACGAGGAACACGCCGAACGTCACGAGCAGAACGACGCCGAACGGCACGGGCAGAACATCCCTGGCGGAACGTCACGGGCAGAACATCCCTGGCGGAACGTCACGGGCGGAACGACGTGGAACATCTCTGGCAGAACAACGCCGAACCCTCCCTCGCTCACCAGTAGCAGCTGCAGGCCGCGCTCGGAGACCTCGATGCTCACCTCCCTC